TTAGTAAACTCGATGCTTTTGAGACATGATTCTACTACTAGCTTGAGTCCTTTGTAGTGTGTGGCATCAACTAATACAATCCATCATGCGTGAGCCTCATTTTCAACGGAATCTCCTGAGTCTGTGTGTCCTTCACAAAACATTCAAACGGGTGAAATTCTATAAACACCTTATTGTCACGAATGAATTATGACACAAATAACAGATTCTTCTTTATATTTGGCACATGAAGCATATTTTGTAACAACAAGGGCTTTAAGTTACTAAACAGACAAGATTGTCCTATATGTGAGATCTTAACACCCTCTCCATTTCCCATAAGTAGTGTATTATTACCTGTGTAAACAGCACCAGAGTTAAACACAGACAAATCATTGGTGACATGATGTGTAGCTCCTGTATCTAGATACCAGACATCATCAGTAGCTTTGCTTGAAGCATTAACAGAAGGTATTGTGGAAACAAAGGTTGCTGGTGAGGGAGGCATTGAAGAACTAAAAATATTCTTCCTAATATTAGAACCAAATGATGAATTACCAGAAGTTGCACTCATAGGAAGCATTGACATTGGATACGAGACCTAAGGAGTGAACATGTGACCACCCTGATAATACGGTATTGAACCAAATGACTGCATACTAGGAAAACCTGAGTTAGAAGCAGGATTATAGAAGAACACAAGAGACTGAGCAAAACCAGGACTCATTGAGTGACTATATTCCTACATGTTAATAGCAGTATGCTGCTTATCACCTGAGATATTGCGAGACTGTTTCCATCCATCATTAACTGACACAGAAGAGTCAGCCACCCCAGAGTACTCACGATCAAACCTATGATAGTACTTCTGAACAGTGTGGTCAAACTTTCCACATAGCTGACACTGAGGTCGATTAGAATTATTGAAGCGACCACGACCTCTACCACGAAAGTTGTCACCTTGTTGATTTCTTACTGAGTTTGACTATGGCTGAGATGAAGTATTACCAGTAGTGGATCTCAATTTTGGACAGTCTTTGTCACCAAAATGAGCTTCCATATTAACAGAAACACTTTCACACAAAAAAGTTTCTGTTGAGCTTCACAATCAAGAAGCATTTCAGTTAAAACATCTAATGATAAGGAATCACGAGAAGCTATAGCAATTATGGACTCAAACTCCATGGATAACCTAACCAAAAGAACACTAACATGCTCTTGTTCAGTTACTAAACTTCCTGCAGCATTCAGCATATCATAAATAGACTTAACCTTTGCCAGATATTCACTTACTGTCAAACCAGCCTTCCTTTGCGAATGAAGACTTGCCTAAGAGCAGATACCTTTGCATTAGACCTCACACCAAAGAGTATTGAAATAGCACTCCAAATGGTGAGCGTGGACATAAGACTAGTGAGGTGAGGAAGAACTTCTATACTCATAGTGGTTATGAGCCAAGACGCCAACAATTTATCTTGTTGCATATAAACCACAAAGGCAGGATTCTCTTTCTCTTGCCCTGATCCATTCGTAAAAAACTCACTAGGAGCAGAAGTATCATTAGATGAATATTTCAACAATCCATATCCATCAATGATTAACATTACTTGATGTTTCCACAAAAGATAAGTGGTCTCAGGCAATTTCACAATGTCATGCTTAGAAATACGTTGAACAGTCAAACTAACCAAAGAGGAAGGCATAGATGAAGTAACTAGGAAGCAAACCAACAAGAAGTTGAGTACAAACCTTCTTACCACCTACTTACAGCATTTCAAGATCTGCAACCACCTTAGCAAACCACGCAATCAACAACTGCAACTACTGAGAAAGAACGAGCGTCCATGCATCGCAGAAAAGAAATCTTAAAAAAGAACAAACAGCTGATAGAAAAAAAATACTCCAGGACTTGGCGAATGATACCATGTTATAGTTTTACTATAATGATTAACAATCACTGTAAAGAAACAAAACTAAGAAAGCAAGAAAGAAGCAAGGAGGAAACCATATTACTGAACTTCATTTATTTCATTAACATATCTCTCTCAATCATAGAGATGAGCATTATACAATTGATATGAACAACTATAGAAGCTTTATCATCTTATAACCAACTCTTAACAACCTAACCATAAGAAGCCAGCTAAGCAAGTAGCTTATTCCATATCGTATACATCAACAGGGATGGAATTAGGCGGGATGGGTGGGACAGTCGTCCCCTAAAATTTTAAAATTATTATATATTTTAAATTTTTTCTATGTATTTTTAAATGAAAATTTATTTTTGTCATCTAAAATTTTATAAGTTCAAATTCGTCCCCACTATAATTTTATAAATTCAAGTTCACCCCACCTAACATAAGATCTTATGTCCGTCCCTGCAACTATGCAAGTACATTTTATTCATGTACGTGCAGTTAATAATTAACTAAAAATCATTCATAGTTTTAATTTCCAAAAACTTTCAATATAAAATCAGCAAATTAGTTGTTTGAGTCGGGTTGATTTGGGCGTTTCCTATAATTCTGTTTTGGGTATGTTTTATAGGTATCTTGATGTGTTGTTGTTGGTTTCGACTATGATCAGTTTTGTACCTTTTAGCGAACACTTGCTTTAGTGTTTTGCTCTCCTTTAGAATATTATATCCCTTTCGAATCTTAACAAGAATTTTTATAATTTTTCTGGAGATAATCTTCACATAAGAGTATCACTAGAAATAAGATATCCGAAGACTCGAGGATCAATACTCTTTGAGAAACCACTATCCTTAAGAAATATCATTTGAGATCAAAATCATTTGACGAGTCGACTGCATCAGTTAGGTCTACCTATCATGTTAGTCCACAAATAGCTATATTGTTTGTCGTTTCACGTTTGCCACCAACACTAAAGGTTAATGTACAAAAACCATTAGAAGGAATGAAAATGATCTTCTAACTCTTGATTGTTTTCTTTTCTTTAATTTTAGTTCTATTATTATTATCGGTTAATCACGAGCTACATTCTCCACCTGAAAAAATTGAACAATCTAGGCATCTACCACCATATTCAAACACATAAAATTCTCTCTTTCCATTATGTTTTAAGGAAGCTGAAAGAGTAGGGCTCTATCATTCTACATGTTGGGATTCAAATTCCTTTTTTATTAAATGATATTTCTCAAGAGTTTTGGTCTATATTTTGTGTCATAGTTGACCAAAATTAGGAAATGAACATATAATTAAAAATGAATAAATTACATAATTTAATCACTCATCTATTACTTATTATAAAATTTTGTTCGATGATTCAAGACCAATACAAAATGTATGTAGAAGCCTTCCTTCTTTGTAGACCTATCGATCATCTCCAAAGTTTCTTTCGACAGAACGTGATTCATAGCTTGAATAATCTTTCTTTTTCTCTCTCTTTTATTTTTAGAGAGTATTTGGTTTATAAATCAAATCATTATTAGTATTTTTTTTAAGAATCACATACTCATATTTGGTTTAAGAATATTTTCTCTAAAGGTTAATAACACATTTCCTATAGTACTGTGATTTTTTTTTCTGATAATTTCATTCTCCTTTTTTCTTAGGTGTTAGAAGATTACCAATTTTTAGCACAAAATCATCCTTAAATAATAGAAATATTTTAAAATAATCACTTTTTGTCCATACACTGAAACAAATTTATTTTATTTCTTTTGTTTTTTATTATGATTTTAATTTTTTTATTAATTATTATAAAATAATATGATGTTGTAAATAGAAAGTAAAAAATATATATTAAATTTCTACTTCATTTTGAATATTTATTGTTTATGTGTGTAATTCAAATTTTATTTTTGTATGTGTTTATTTTTTAAGATTAATTTTTTATATTATATTTTTATATTATTTTATTATGTTTATGAAATAATTTGATATGATATTTTATTATACAATTCATAGATGTGACATGAATAAACTAAGAAAAAATTGTAGAAATAATCACATACTTACATCCATGTATGTATGTACATCTTTCAATATCATAATACTTAGAAATAAACACATTTTTATATTGGTGTATGTTTCTTTAATTAAAAAAATAGAAATAAGTGAAAATTGAATATTAAATTATTTGTGAAAAATTTCTATAAAAGAAAATATATAAATTGAAATAATAGAAAAATATATTTTCTATGAACTTTCATGTAAATAGTTTTAATTTAATATTGAGAATTCACCTTGTTAAAATATATAGGTAAGTTACACGTTTAATACTTAATCTATCAATTTTATTTCGTTTTGATACCTAAACTTTCATTTGTTTTAAAACTATACCTAACATTTACCTTTTGTTTCATTTTAGTACCTCACTATTAAAAATTTAACGACACTGCATTTTTATGGGTAAATGACATCATTAATCACTCAACTATTATAATCTTGATTCCGGTTAAACAAACCAACTAAGATAATATAATATTCTTAATAATATATTAAATAATATTACATTTTATTAATTTTATTATAAAAAATTATCTTACATTCGTGAATAAAACTAATCTTATTTTTTTTACATTTATGTTGTCTTTTCACTTGTCTTGCGGTTGGGCCTTTCCTTGGTGATGTCTAGGGGTGTAAACGAGTCGAGTCAAGTTCGAGTATTGCTGAGCTCGATTCGAACTCAAAAACTTTAAATGCAAACTCGACTCGACTCGAAAACTCGTGAGTTTAAAATTTTCAAGCTCGACTCTAACTCGAAAAATAATATTAAAACTCGACTCGAACTCAAAAAGACTCAAATTCAAAAAAAAATTTAGGAGTTCGATAAAAACTCGAGACTCGAGCTCAATTGAAGCTCAATTTTGAGCTCGGTTCAAGCTCGACGGGTTTTATTTCTATTTACTGAAACCCATCCCCTTTTATACACTCCACTTTACCCCTTATTCTCCGAGTACCAACGATGTGGGATGTAACTCACTGGAGAAAACAGTGGCGTTTTTGGTAAATTTTCAGCTCTTTCCGTTTTGAAAATTTGGGTTCGGTTATGTTGGGGTTTTTGTGTTTCAAACATTAATTGTTGTTTGGATGATGGGAAATCGGAATCCTCAGGATAAAGATGGGAACTTGAATATTTTACTAGTAGTATAGATACAATATATCATGCTAATATGGGTTAGGGATGTTGATAAACGATATTCCTCAGTTTGCAGGAAAATATAATCTTTGATAAGAAAACTTTCCTAATATAACTCTATTTCGTATTATCGAACAGTCGCTTGAATTTCCTGCTGTTTGTCATCCAAGGAAATGCTAACTTGCCTGTTATTTAATGCCTACTATGGCTGGATTTTTGGATGGGTGAAGTAGGATAATTGCTTTGCCTTTGATTGTTTTCTAAACATTTCGCATTTTACTCAACCTGTGCCGATAAGATTTCATACGTTGCTTTCATTGATTTTCAACAAGGTAGCTGTCATGATTCTGAATGTGTTCACCTCTCCATCCAGGTCCTTTTCTCCAAGTTCAAGGCTTCCTCTGCTCATGCGAAGTCGCTCGGGCGTTTGCATGCTTTTGATCATTTTCCTGCCACAGCTCTATTCCATTGCAGCAGAAGTAGTTCTCCGGGGTCTTAATGGGAGCTGAAGTTGTCAGTTGAAGGTATAAGCCATTTTTTGGTTATTATTTTACAGACATTATTTACTATACACCATTTTTTGGTCATTCTTTTTTCTCCTCTGTGGTTCTGGTCAGGACTGGTGAATGTCCCAACTCCTAATCATTCATCTTTCAATGATATATAACTAGTTCTGTATTGTAGATGTACCTTTCTTGCAACTTCTGCTGCATCAACTCCATTGGATCAAGGGAGTTTCTTGAAGGTTTTGCCTTCGTTAAACAAGGTATGCAGACCTAATTTGTTGTTTAGATATCACGTGGCAATGTGCATGTTATTGGAGAGCTAATATGATCAAGGGAAAACTATGATGTGCATATGATGGTTAACATATCTGCTTAGCTTCTTAAGCAGGACAAGTTGTGTATATTTATTTTGCATGTTGATATGTTTATGTATAAGTATGCGAATGATTTATGTAGGAGTCACATACATCATTTTGCATAATTTGTATGTTACCTTCATGTGCATAATTTAACCCCTATCACATAATCGAATTTAGGGTTTATGGTTTAGATTTTAGGGTTTAAGGTTCATTACAAATACATTAATTAATCGATTTGGTACCGATTTATGAGGTAAGTACTATATAATATCTTGATATTAAATGCATTACAATATGGTTTAGTTGTATTATAGAATTTTTAATATATATTTAAAATTTTATAATTATCAATAATGTATTTTTAATATATTTTTAATAATGTAATTTTAAAAAATCTAAAATTATAATATAACATTTTTTTCGAGCTGCTCACGAGCTTTTTGAGTCGAATATCGAGTAGCTCATTTCGGCTCGTTAAGAACTCGAGTCGAGCTCGAGCTCGAGTCGAATCCATTCGATATGAGTATTTATCGAGCCTTAATCGAGTCGATCTCGAGTAACTTACGATCTGTCTCACCTCATTTGCAGTCCCAGTGTGTCTGCAAATTTTCATTCGGCTTGATCTTGAATCGTGGATCTTGGAGAGCCAGCAAATTTTCATTATTTTTCTTTTTCTTTGATAAAAAATACATACCTATAGTATAACTTTTATATGCTACTATTCTTCTTTTAGGCATGAGTCATTTCATTGGCTAGTTTCTCTTTCCTATAAGAAATTGACCAATCATTTTATTGGGTAGATACCCATTTGGCCATTTCCATGGCGTTGCTCCACGTAAGGCTGTTTAATCCAAAAAAAAAAATGTCTGCGTATCAAATCAATATGAATTTAAACTACTTTTAGTCAATTTTATATTAAAAAAACCCTAAATAAATACTTATTTAAAAAATAGTACTATTCATAAATTATTTGAAAGAATAACTCTCAAATCGTTCGCATCGAACGATATCGCGACCTGTAAACAGCGTATTAAATCTTCACACCCTCCAACACACGAGATACATCCGACGTAGGCGTACTTTCTAAGTAAGCCAATAAAACAATTGAATAAAATGACTTTGCGAATTGCGAAGCGATAGGTAACATTTATGATTTAAAATATCGCGAAATTTATGGGAGATCTCGCGGCCTGCAAAACGTGAGGACAATAGATTCCCTACCATTCTTTTAGTGTCCATAGCCTTGTTCGGATACTATTTCTAGGTGAGAAACTATTTTTTTAATTTTTAATTATAAACTCGTAGTGTTGCAATTTATATTTTAGGTGACTATAATATCATAATGTATAAGACATTTTAAGCGGTAAAAAAGATGTTGAAAATGGTTAGAAATCATGGTTTTGTGAGGGAAGAAAAAATGATTTGATAAACATATTGAAGTATTATTTCTGGCTTGTAAATATGAGTGATTTCAGAATTTATATGCTTAGAGGTATAGTATTGCAACTTTTATTTATGTTAAGACTAATATAGTCACATACGAGATATTTTAATGGGGCTAAAATTGTGTTTGAAAAGGTTGGAATGTATGATTTGGTGTATAAAGAAATCAAAAGAAATTGAAAACTAAGTAATATATGTTGTTAATTGAAAAAGAAATAATGCAAAAAACTAATTTAATTGATACGTGGGCCTGAACGATTAAGACATTTGTTCTTCGTGTGTCCTGGATTCCTACATATAGAGCATAATTTTGGTTGTCCGGTTTTTTATTGATGTTCGACCAAATTCTACTCACAAAAAATCTGGGTTGACCATGGACGACTGATTTTTTTTGTCGTAGTATACCATCTGCCGTATTGTAGATTCATCATCAGCTTCATCTAAATCCCATTCATTTCCAATTGGAGAGAACTCATATTCATAAACCTTGAATATAGTTTCAAGTAAGTAAACCTGATCAACAAATCTCACGTAGGGTATATGAACACAAGAAGCAACATCAATGGTATGCGTACATGAGTATTTGAAAGTTTGGAAGAATCTACACTAACATGTTTTTTCTCGTAAATTAATCGCATATGCATTGTGTTGTATGTCTTCCATTGGCCTCGCAAATTCTGATACATGGAATAATAACATTTTGCGAGAAAAGCATATGACACTCATTGCGTTGGAATGCTGCTGGAATGTTAGCAATTTTCTGAGGAGGTTTGGGTGGATTTGGTGGCCACCTGCCATCCAGTCAGCTGTTTCCCTTCCCAATGTTGCGAAAAGGGTTGCCAGTAGATAATATGTCGCTTTGACAAATGACGTGATAAGCAAATGGCACACTCCCTTTAGTGATGAATTTATTACCTCAACAAGTTTGTTGTCATGTGATCATACCATCTACCCCCATTAAATGATCAAATCCATTTCTCCTTTGGGATTCTAGCAAGGTAGTTGAAGCCCTCAGAATTCATATGTCTCAGTTCTTGCATCAGGTCCTCAAACTCACGTACAAACTTTGTGTAACATATCAATAAAAAGTGGAACAATTAATTTGAAATAAGTTTTGTAAAGATATGGTAAACCAAAAAGGGTGAAAGACATACACATTCGAAGCACTATTAGATGCTCATATTGACTCTTGAACTTCTACAGATAGTTTGTGGCAATATGTCGTAAATAGTACCGGTGATAAATATTGGGGTTTTGGCAAGACAGGCCCATAAACTAGAGTGTGTATTTGATACCAACGCCTATGTCAGAAATAAGACAAATTCCATCATCTCTATCATGCATAACATGTGATAGAACATATGTTTGTAAGTTTATAAGGAAGAATTCCCAAAAGTCGATTTCTTCCTTTTTGACAATTGCGAAGGCGATGAGAATAGTTTTTCTGTTGTAGTCTTGTGCAACCGTCATTTTTTGAGTGTATTTGTAACATCCTAAATTAGGGTCAGTGACTAAATTGCAAATTTTAAAAACAATGTGCTCGATTTCAAAATAAGTTAAAAGTTCATGGATTTAATTGAAGAAAGTTGATGTTGGATTTAATGGTAAAGTTTTGAAATAACAAGGGTATTATGATCTTTTCTAAGAGAAGATTTTTATTCTTTTGTTCAAGGGATATAAAAATGTGGGAAAATAGATAATTTCTCCAGACTATTCTTCAGTCTTCTTCTTCCTCCTCTCCACTGTGAAGCCTTGTATAAGGTAAGTGGGTCTTCAGTTGGTTAATTCTTTAGTTTTAAAGCTTGTTTTGATTCTTGGGATGTTAAGAAAGATTAAGGAAAGCTTTAGATGGCTTAAAACTCAGAGATTAGCAAGTTATAAGAAATTAAGAAAAATGAGTTTTTAAGTGAATTTTTGAAATAGAAGGAGTTAATAGATTTTGAAGTTTAATTTGACTTGTCAAGGGTTAAATTAAGAGATATGAAGTGATAGAATGGGCTTTAGAACATGTTGGAAATTTAGTGTGATTTTTGAATGCCATGTAAATGATAGAATTTTGAGTTTAAAGAAGTGATTATAGAGTAGAAATGAGTTTAAGTATGTGTATGAAAGTTAGGAATATTAAAGGGAGTGAAGTATGAAGTGTTGAGCTGGAAATGAAGTGATTTTCGAGCTAAAAATATGATTTCTGGGCAAGGGGAATCGGTACCCATTCAAGGGGAACCGATACCCCTTCAAACGAACAAAAAATTTCCAGAATGACATGAGGGAATCGATACCTCCATAGTAGGGAATCGATTCCCCCTAAAGGAAAATTGTAAATATTGGTTTAATAAGTTCGTTTAAGTTACTAGTATCAAATTACAAGGTGTATGTATCTAATAATTGTCTTAAAATGTATAATTATGTAGATTCAGAGCCTAAACGAGTTCCGGAATCATTGACAAGTAAGATCGATAAAAAGGGAAGATAAGAGATTAGAATGGACTAGTGAGGCCAGGTGAGTGCATATTAGTATTATATGATGTTAAATGGAAATAAGACTTGCGACAAGTCTATTTTCCATAGTAAAATGCATGAATTCATAAATAGAAGTATATATGTGTATGTTTATATGTGTTGACATGTTATTGTATATATGTATTATATGGTTGACGTGAATATGTGATATGTTATGATGATATAAACCATATGATATGATAATAAATTATATGAATATAAAAGATAAGTTATGTGATAAGATCTTTGATATATACATATATATATATATAAATGAAATATTACTACGTGAATACATGTTATGAGATAATTTAAGTAATAATATGAGAATATGGTAAAAGTGAGTTTATGAGAAAGGATATGAACTAAGTAAGCAAAGGCTACATAAATAATATATTAACTAGGAGACTTGAACTTCAGTGATACTATGAGCATATAAGATAAGATAGAGGAGAAAGATTCATATGCTTAAATAAAATTATGATACATTAGTTGTATAATAGAAGCTATGGAGTGATATGAAATGATTATAGGAGTTGTACGGAATTGAATTAAGTAACTAGATTAAATTGTATATAAAAGAAATAATAGAAGTAATATATTTATGTTTATAAGTATAATGTAGGTTATGTAATGCAAGTGCATACCAAGAAATACAGAATAAGGTAGATGATATGATGTAAATTATATTATGAATTAGTGATGTAGGAATGAGATATAAATATGCAATAAAACTTATGTGTTATATGATAAATATGAACATATGAGAATAAAAGACTAGATAAGTGACTTGGTGATAGAAGCTATATGACCATGGATTAGGTAAATATGAATAATTTAAGTGATATGTAACTGTGAGTATTTGAGTATGTATCCATGTGAGTTGATTCATGAGGTTATATGAAATATTATACTATATGACTATGTGAGTATATGAAAAAGAATATAGGTACATGCAAGTTATATCCAAAGGAGTTATGTAACCATTCCTGATATGTATTACATGTATGGGAATATAAGAGAATAAAACATAAACTATATGAAAAGATATGATTCATGTGATGTGAACCATGTAAATATATGAGAAAGTGTATAAGTTATATGTATTACATGATATATGTGATTTTACAAGAAATGACATGAGCTATGTGATTACATGATTATAAGAGATCATACATGTGATAAAAGATAATTAATATGCATGTGTGAATATGAAATTATATAAATGACAATGCTCATGTTGTGTGTCATGAGAGCTAGGGGTATAGTTGGCATGCCAAGAGTCGAGGGTCTACGCGGTCCTTCGGGATATATATATATATATATATTCTTTGGAACATGTGTGAAGTATTGTGAGATACATAATTGATCCCTAGTATATGTATATGATTCTTAAGGAATGATATGTGGTCCTTATGGACATTATTATATGGCACTACGGTGCAATTCTACGCGGTACTACGGTGCAATTCTACGTGGCACTACGATGCAATTCTACGTGGCACTTCGGTGCATTTATATGAGCTGTGGTGACAACATTAGTGCACAACCTCCATAGACTCGCATATCTATAGTTCTCACATATGTACATGGGCTAATCAAGAGATATAAACAATTATATGTTAGTGATATGATAAATGTTATAGAAATAATATGATGTTATGTGTGTATAGTGTTTGATTGAAAAGGTTAAGCATAAAAGTATGTGATTACATGATAAACTGCTAATGATGATTTATGTGTATGTATGTATTTATTGTAATTAATCTGATATGCTTTTACATGATATGAGGAAATCATGTAATTTGGTATAGCATGATAGAACAAAACATGCATGTATTGATAAATGTTATAAAGTGCATTATAAGTTTTTATGCCTCACTAAGTTATAGACTTAGCGTGTGATTGTTTCACACGTAAGTTACAAAAGCTAGAAGAGAAGCGAAGAAGAGTAAGACAGGTCAGCACCTCCCTTACAAAATTTCAGATCAGAAAATAGAGAATTTAAATGTTTTTGGTTATTTTGAGTATAGTTGGCATGTACTAATTGGTTGAATTAGTTATGCTCTGATTGATTTTGGGTATTGTGGTCAATTTATGTAACTAAACCGCTTTTACTTTAATGAAAGATTTAAATTTTCTTTGAATTTTATCAAGAGTCAAAGTTTGTAAAGTCAATGTGACACCTCAGACTTGTGTCCGAGTCGGGTACGGGTTGGGGGTGTTATATTTAATGGAATCAGAGCTAAGGTTTAGCCGATTCTTAGCATAAACCAAAGTATAAAGTGTCATAAAATGTGTACATGCCAACATAAGGTGAAAAATTCTGATCTGATAGTGTAAGGAGTGTGTTGTCTTGCTAATAGAATTAGATTGTTAAGTTATAATAGAAGTATGATTATAGTAATTTTGAAGTGAAGTAAGAGGCGATATTCCTGATTGGGATAGAAATTCACCTGCCCTGGCCAGGCATGGGGAAGAGCGGACACCTCAGGAAGTGCTTCATAAGATCAAAGACTGATTTCAGAAAGTTAAAATCATATTAGAATAGTGATAGAAAGTTTTCACATCTTTGAATCGGAAAAGTGATATGAAGTATTCTTATTATTTCATGAATACGATTGAATATGGTGAACAAGTGTCACCATAAGAACACTAAAGAGTTTCCACTTTTTTGAAGTGAAGAAGTTAGATGAAGTAGTTTAGTTACTATGTGGAGAAGTTGAAGTATAGTGAACAGATTTTAGCATAAGAATGATAGAAGATTCATGGATGTGGTTATTAGTTAGGAGAATTCAAGAATAAGTGCATCAGTGACAAGCGTATAAGACATATAAAGTCAGAGCTTATGAGGTTGAAACAAAGAGATAGTACCGTGTATAAGCAAGAGTGTGGCTATTATAAGGGCTTGCATTCTAGATGGAAAGAGTTAGCGTTGGCTAACCAGAGGAGGTGATGGAAAATGTATTGTAATTATAAGATTTTGAGATATTGTCAGGATAAGATAACCAAATATGAAGTGGATTTGGATACAGTTGTATATTTTGATCATAATGATGTGATATAGTGAAGAAGGTGAGGATTCATATGTTTGAGTAAAAATAAGGATTGATAAGAAGAGTTTAAGAATGGGAACATCAGTGATCAGTTTATAAGATAAAGGAATTATAAGGTTGTGTTGGAACAACAACAATTGTATGGTGTATGAGAATAAATGTGGATCTGATAAGTAAGTAAATTGCACTAGTTGGATTTCAACTGAGAAGATGAATATGAGTAGTTTGATTAGGGCTTATGCCCTAAATGGAAGCATTGTTATTGATTAATTGTAATAGCATGGATAATAGAGTTATAAGATTTGAAGAAAAGATAAAGTTAAGTTAATCAAGTATGATGTGGATTTAGATATGGTTTTGATCATATAGATATGATGTAGGTAAGGAAATAAGTTTTTTATGTTTTAAAGGGTGTTTTAAGGAAGGAAATACAAGTATAAGAAATGGTAAAGAATAAGGTTCTGTATAAGTACAGTAGATTATCAAGCTACGAAGATATGATGAAAATCAGTAATCATAGATGAGTATAAATGATAAGAAAAGAGTATGTGTATATTAAAGAAAAGATATGATATGTGTATAAGGAGATTTTGATTTTTGAATGAATAAAGGAATAATGGTATAAGGAAAAAGTTTAAAGAATCAGATGTGATAAAGGTTATGTTTCTGGGTCAAGGAGATTAGTCAGAGGAATAAAGAATAATTTATATGTATTAAGGAAGTTTAAGAAGTAATTAAGTGATGATGGAATAAAAGTTCGTTATTACTGCAAGGTAATTAAAGATTGATAAGGAATTTGATTGATTAATGATTTTGAGTGATAAGAACTGATGATATTTGTTATATGATAAGTGACATGATAAGGATGTATAAAAAAAAGGGGTAGTTGAAGAACTAAGGGAAAGAAAGATTAAGTAAAGGAAACAACATGAGAACATTAGCAGACATGTTCTTATCAATGTGTGCAGTGAAAATTCGAGGACGAATTTTCTTTAAAGGAGGGGAGATTTGTAACATCCCAAATTAGGGTCAGTGACTAAATTGCAAATTTTAAAAACTATGTGCTCGATTTCGAAATAAGTTAAAAGTATATGGATTTAATTAAAGAAATTTGATGTTGGATTTAATGGTAAAGTTTGGAAATAACAAGGGTATTATGGTCTTTTCTAAGAGAATATTTTTAGTCTTTTCTAAGAGAAGATTTTATTCTTTTGTTTAAGGGATATAAAAACGTGGGAAAGGAGATAATTTCTCCAGACTATTCTTTAGTCTTCTTCTTCCTCCTCTCCACCGTGAAGCCTTGTATAAGGTAAGTGGGTCTTCAGTTGGTTAATTCTTTCGTTTTAAATCTTTTTTTAATTCTTGGAATGTTAAGAAAGATTAAGGAAAACTTTAGGTGGCTTAAAACTCAAAGATTAGCAAGTTATGAGAAATTAAGAAAAAAGAGTTTTTAAGTGAATTTTTGAAATAGAAGGAGTTAATAGATTTTGAAGTTTAATTTGACTTGTCAAGGGTTAAATTAAGAGATATGAAGTGATAGAGTCGGCTTTAGAACATGTTGGAAATTTAGTGTGATTTTTGAATTCCATGTAAATGATAGAATTTTGAGTTTAAAGAAGTGATTATGGAGTAGAAATGAGTTTAAGTATGTGTATGAAAGTTAGGAATATTAAAGGGAGTGAAGTATGAAGTGTTGAGCTGAAAATGAAGTGATTTTGAGCTAAAAATATGATTTCTGGCAAGGGGAATCGGTACCCATTCAAGGGGAACCGATACCCCTTCAAACGAACAAAAAATTTCCAGAATGACATGAGGGAATTGATACCCCCATAGTAGGGAATCGATTCCCCCTAAAGGAAAATTATAAATATTGGTTTAATAAGTTCGTTTAAGTTGCTAGTATCAAATTACAAGGTGTATGTATCTAATAATTGTCTTAAAATGTATAATTATGTAGATTCAGAGCCTAAACGAGTTCCGGAATCATTGACAAGTAAGATCGATAAAAAGGGAAGATAAGAGATTGGAATGGACTAGTGAGGCCAGGTGAGTGCATATTAGTATTATATGATGTTAAATGGAAATAAGACTTGCGACAAGTCTATTTTCCATAGTAAAAATGCATGAATTCCTAAATAGAAGTATATATGTGTATGATTTATATGTGTTGACATGTTATTGTATATATGTATTATATGGTTGATGTTAATGTGATATGTTATAATTATATAAACCATATGATATGATAATAAATTATATGAATATAAAAGATAAGTTATGTGATAAGATCTTTGATATATACATATATATAAATGAAATATTACTACGTGAATACATGTTATGAGATAATTTAAGTAATAATATGAGAATATGGTAAAAGTGAGTTTATGAGAAAGGATATGAACTAAGTAAGCAAAGGCTACATAAATAATATATTAACTAGGAGACTTGAACTTCAGTGATACTATGAGCATATAAGATAAGATAGAGGAGAAAGATTCATATGCTTAAATAAAATTATGATACATTAGTTGTATAATAGAAGCTATGGAGTGATATGAAATGATTATAGGAGTTGTACAGAATTGAATTAAGTAAATAGATTAAATTGTATATAAAAGAAATAACAGAAGTAATATATTCAGGTTTATAAGTATAATGTAGGTTATGTAATGCAAGTGCATACCAAGAAATACAGAATAAGGTAGATTATATGATGTAAATTATATCATGAATTAGTGATGTAGGAATGAGATATAAATATGCAATAAAACTTATGTGTTATATGATAAATATGAACATATGAGAATAAGAGATTAGATAAGTGACTTGGTGATAGAAGCTATATGACCATGGATTAGGTAAATATGAAGAATTTAAGTGATATGTAACTATGAGTATTTGAGTATGTATCAATGTGAGTTGATTCATGAGGTTATATGAAATATTATACTATATGACTATGTGAGTATATGAAAAAGAATATAGGTACATGCAAGTTATATCCAAAGGAGTTGTGTAACCATGCCTGATATTTATTACATGTATGGGAATATAAGAGAATAAAACATAAACTATATGAAAAGATATGATTCATGTGATATAAACCATGTGAACATATGAGAAAGTGTATAAGTTATATGTATTACATGATATATGTGATTTTACAAGAAATGACATGAGCTATGTGATTACATGATTATAAGAGATCAGACATGTGATAAAAGATAATTAATATGCATGTGTGAATATGAAATTATATAAATGACAATGCTCATGTTTTGTGTCATGAGAGCTAGGGGTATAGTTGGCATGCCAAGAGTCGAGGGTCTACGCGGTCCTTCGGGATATATATATATATATATTCTTTGGAACATGTGTGAAGTATTGTGAGACACATACTTGATCCCTAGTATATGTATATGATTCTTAATGAATGATATGTGGTCCTTATGGACATTATTATATGGCACTATGGTGCAATTCTACGTGGCACTACGGTGCAATTCTACGTGGTACTTCGATGCATTTATATGTGCTGTGGTGACAGCATTAGTGCCCAGCCTCCATAGACTCACATATCTATAGTTCTCACATATGTACATGGGCTAATCAAGAGATATAAACAATTATATGTTAGTGATATGATAAATGTTATAGAAATGATATGATGTTGTGTGTGTATAGTGTTTGATTGAAAAGGTTAAGCATAAAAGTATGTGATTACATGATAAACTGCTAATGATGATTTATGTTTATATATGTATTTATTGTAATTAATCTGATATGCTTTTACATGATATGAGGAAATCATGTAATTTGGTATAGCATGATAGAACAGAACATGCATGTATTGATATATGTTATAAAGTGCATTATAAGTTTTTATGCCTCACTAAGTCATAGACTTAGCGTATGATTGTTTCACACGTAGGTTACAGAAGCTAGAAGAGAAGCGAAGAAGAGTAAGACATGTCAACACCTCCCTTACAAAATTTCAGATCAGAAAATAGAGAATTTAAATGTTTTTGGTTATTTTGAGTATAGTTGGCATGTACTAATTGGTTGAATTAGTTATGCTCTGATTGATTTTGGGTATTGTGGTTAATTTATGTAACTAAACCGCTTTTACTTTTGTCGTAACCGTTTTTCGTCCGGGCACGAAATATTTATTTAGCGGGGAAATTGATGTGAATAAATGGTTTTGAAAATAATTTGGGAGTCGCCATCGTCCTTTTGGGTTAGGTAGGTCGAATACCTAAATATTATCTTTTAACAGAGTTTTTAAGAAAACATCAGTTAAAAGATGAACTGATCTGCGTTTATAACCAAAAAATTCGTTCTTTTTAATAATAAAAAGGGATTCGTGGTCGGTTACGTTTAGAGAAGGATTAGCACCCCTACAACGCCCAAAATTGGTACTTTTTAATTATAAATTGTCTCTAGTATTAAAATTTTAAAAATTCAAAAATATATTTAATTTATAATCCTATTATTTCAAAATTATATAAATAATATTTATTTATTTAAAAACATCAGAAAAGAACTTAAGATAGCTCTTTCCTTTGATATTGATAAATATTAATTTAAATACTATTGTTTAATTTAAAATACCAGAATAGGACATCCAGTTGTATTGAGACTGTCCTTTTCTTCGATATTTAAAAAAAAATATCAAAATAATTTATTAAATATATATAAATAATTATTATTATATATATTTATAACTATATAATAATAAAAGTATTTAAATATATAGACAAATAAAACAATAAAAATACAATTAAAATGATATATTTAAAAATAATAAAATAGATGAAAACATTTAGAATTAGTGACTAAAATATAGTAAAAGTAAAATTAAAAAATCTAATTCATAATTAATCAAAATATTAGGGATTAAACATGCTATTTCTTTATTTTATTTATTTAGTGACTAAAATAAACTTATTTAAAATTCGAATATCAGATTAAAATAAATTAAAAATATAAACTCAGTATTAAAATATTATTTATTAAAATTAAGGGACTGAATATATTATTTATCCTAAATATTTAAACATACAGGCTAGGACTAAAATGAAATAAAATAAAATTACGAGACTTAATTAAAACATATAAGAATTGATTTTAGTGACAAAAATAGAAATTTACAAATCTAGGATGACTACGCGAGAGGTTTGACCCGTGTGCGAAATTACAGATATACCCCTGCCCAAAACGGCGTCGTTTGGGAGGGGTATATATGATCAAATGGCTAGCCCGTAGGGCCAGCATCCCTCATTCTCTCTTCTTCGTCTCTCTCTAACCGAGAGAGTTTATAAAACTCTCTCGCCTCTCTCTAACCGAGAGAGTTTCCGGCCGTCGCCGGACACCGTACTCCGGTGTTGGTCTCCACCGCCGGCTACCACACGCGGTGGCCGGATTTTTCCTAAAGACCTAAAATAAAGA